ACCGGCTTGGGAATTTTTGTATTGTAACTATGAAAGAAACCATGTTGCCAATTTGGCTGTTACATAGTTACAAATGTGAGACCAATGGCTCAGTTAAACTTGCCCAGGGGTTTTTTTAATGTCACAATTCAGGTTGGTCCTGTGTTATTGGTGTGTGTGTTCAGGCAATACTCAGCAAATGACATGAGTTTGGTCTGTTCACTGGCAATTCCTGGGAAAATTACAAAACTTCTACCTGTCTCCCTGCTGAGATTCCTAATTTCAGCAAAGCATTAAAGAATAGGCCTAATTCCCTTAGGACTGCAGTTTTCATTGAATTTTAACTAGTGCTTTGGTACCTTGACATATCAAAGCCAAAATAAGTTAATTTGTGGAAACAAGTGGGTGAGAATAAGGAAAATATAATCCCTGTTCAGTCTCATGTAAAGTATGGTGAAACAAACCTATGTGCAGAAGAATAAAAGAGTGTGTGTGAGTCTTCTGATCACTTGAAAATATAGGGAAAGGATTGTTGCTGGGGTATTTTGACTGATTACCCCAAATGTTCACTAAAACAACCGTTAGATAGTAAATGTGGGTACCAAATGAAGTATCTCCAGGAAGGGTGTGTTTATTAAGAAGCTGCAATCAGAATGATTGAATGGGATGCACTCGAGGATGTTTTGTTTTGGGTGGCTCACAGTCTTCAATCTAAGTTTTAATCAGAAGTGCTGTGGACATGGCAATAGAGAGTGGAGCCATCTGCTCTCTGTAGATTATTGTGTGTGTGCACATTTGTATCCCTCACCTTATGGATGTGTGTGAACGCTGAAGGCATTTGCTGTGTGCTCACACACACACTGCACACATAAATCATGTGCATATTAATAGTTTAATCTTCTTATAATGTTAGTGACGGGAAAAATATTATTGGTTGTAGCTGAAATTTGCTATAATTATACAATAAAATATATCACATTCTAGTAATAACCTCAAAAAGGGTGACAGATCTTAGCTTGTGTGTACACTTCAGTGCTTTGTTGAACCAAACTCAGAATTCTGAAAGACTGAAATGCAAAGGAAATAATGGCCTGGGAGCTATTGAAAGCTGTGGGAGTTATAAGGCAGTGGACAGGATTTGGAAAATTCAAGAAAGTACAAGTCTATAGTGCAACATGCAATACCAAAGCACTGAATTGTCTTTAGTATTAACCTGCTTGGCAGCAAAGCCCCCACCTTTGCCAGCTGGGGCTGTCAGAGGACCTTGCTTGGGGGTGTCCTGCAAGAACCAGGCTGTGCTTAGAGAGTCACTGATGAGCCTCACCCAGCACCTACAGCCTGAGCGTGGCAGAGCTGAGACCCTCTGCCCTCCCAGGCTCTCTGCTCCATAAGGCAGGTTTTTCCTCCCAGCACTGCCAGTGTGAACATGGTGCTGTTCCTGGTGGCTCCCAACCCTCTCCACTCCCTCAGAGGCACTGCAGGACCTTTCCTCCCTCTCTGACCCCTCCTACAGCAGCTCATCCCACTGGCTGCACATTCTTGGGGCACAGCCTGAGGAGGGTGAAAGCCAGCCCTTTGCTCCTCTGCCAGGCCCTCCACCAGTATAGAGCAAGGGATGGTTCCTCCCTGTGTGCAGTACTTGGCTCTTCCCCTTGCTGAGCTGGAGGAGAGTCCTGCCAGCCCCTTTCTCCAGGCTGYCAAGGCCCCTCTGCTCGGCAACAAAGACCACTTTGTACTCACCATTTGGAATGACACGGCTTCTTCCTCACAGTTAAGTTCTGTGTAGAGACACYGAGCAGAGTATTATAAAGACCTAAGGGAAAGTACATTTCTTAAGACTCACTGCATTGCTTTCTATTCTCCTTAGTTTAGAGCAATTCTTTTCTTCTTTCTCATCCTGTCTCTATTAGAAACAAAAAAAAATCCTATTCAGATTTTAAACTTTCAAATATTAAGCCATTTACATTTTCTCCTTATTCAAAAGCTGCTCAACACCGTAGAATGGAAAAACATTGCTAGAAATGCATATTCCAATTTAAATGCAATACCAGGCATCTTACACCACATACCAGGTGTAAGACAACTCTTGTCAAAATGCTGAAGAAAAACCCAATACTATACCATTTATTTTTAAGCAAATGATTTGTTTTTCTTTAAAATTAGATTATTCTGATAAATATTTGTCATTAAGAAAGAAACCCCCGACTATCCTTTCCTCTCCAGCCAAGCAAGGCTTTCCCACACTGGTGAAAGCCTTCCCACAGTGGGAAATGTGTATGCTTGGGAAGGGGCAAAGTGATGTGAGTCTTCGGGGCTCCTGTTTGAGAAGATGGGAACCACCAGCCCTGGGGAGGGGAATRAGCAGTCCAGCCTTCAGCTGAAGGCTGAAGTTTTGTAGATGAACCAGTTGAATATCMYAGAAACAAGGAACTTGGAATATTTYATTAGAAAGTACTTAGGGGGTGGGTACTTTATGTTTGCATTCACATAGGTGAGTGGATTTTCCCAGTCTTGAGGAAAAAAAAATGTATTCAGGCTTTGGTAATCTCTCCTTGTATTAGTTGGGAAGGACCTCTGATTTAACTAGAGATTTGACTGATTTAAACTCCTCAGTGATGAAGTGGTGGTGTCAGAGATAAGCAGTCACACTGCCAACTGTGCTTTGGGTCCTCACCTTGGTATCCTTTTAAAAATCTTGCTCTTCCTCTGCAGCCATGGATTGTGGTTTTGTCACTACATGCAATCTCCTCCTCATCCTTCTGTTTCTTTGCTGCCTTTGCTGCCTTTGCTTCTTTGGTTGTGAGAAGAGATAGCTCTAAAAATAATGMCTGTGCCACGTTATTTCTCCCTTATAAATTGTTAATGCAAGGCAGGCGTCCTTAGAATTACCTGAGCTTCACACCTTCCTGTCATTTCTTATTGCTCCCACTGACCCCTGCAGAACTAGCACCAAACAGAAATGACCTTGATGAGGCAAGGGCTACAATTTGCATCCACTATTTGAAAGCAGCCTCCTTCTGCAGGGAGAGACAAGGCCGAAGACTATTTCTCCTTTTCATACAGCACAAGWCCTTGTTCAAGATGCACAAAGGGTTCATTGTTCAAAGTACCCTGACCACATGATTGTAGGTGGCTTATCCCAGGACAAGGAAGGTAAGGCAGAGAAACCTCTCGGGTGCCTCTGGCTGGGACACTCYCCCTCCAGCACATCTGATGCTTGCAGATGGCGCTGTGAATGTGCAAAGGGAGGCACACATCTGCCTGCTCATGGAGATTAGAGCCTTTCCCTGGAAAAACATTCCCAAGTGTGATTTTCTGTGGGGAAACTGAAGCAGAGGTTTTTTTTGCATAAAAGGTGTGGGTTGTTTTTTTGGGTTGGTTTGGTTTGCGGGATGGAAGGAGGCAGGGTAGTTCATCTCAAAGGCCTTAATATTGGCTCAAGACCTTTTTCTCTCATTAGCACCTCTCCTCCTTGAGATGTCCCACTGGTGTTCCACAGCAGGGAACAGAGCCCTGGCACTGCAGAGAGCCCCTGCCATGGCTGCAGGGGTGGGCAGTGTTCTGGCTGGTGCACGGGGGAGGTAGATCATGACATGCTGACTGACATAATGGTGTTTCCCACGGCTTCAGACAAATGCCTGCTCCTCTSGAAGTCTCCAGTGAGTGAAAAAGACTACACACAACACTTCCTTATGAGGCCTCCCATACCAAAAGAAACAATGCAGAGTCAGTGCCACTTGTATCCATGGGAATTGGGCTCCATGCAGTGCACCCAGCAGTTTCGCTTCTTTGACTGCTCTGCCCTGCACCCAAGCCAGTGCCAGAGCAGTTCCCTTACTCGTGGTATGCAGGCTGCAGTCCTTGACATCTCCCTTCTCTGCTCTTTGCTGTGTGAGTGCCTCAGCCGAGGCCTGACATGCACAGAAAACGTGGCCAGCAGCTCCTTCCAGAGCACATCTGGAGAAACCTCGCTGTGTGCTTGGAGTTTCTGCTAAACCAATGTCTGTGTGATCCACAGCTGGCTGTTTTAAAATGAGCACTTGATGGCCTGGTCTGCACTGCTCCTGGAGAAAGGTTTGGGACCTGCTTTGTGTGTGTCCCCTTGCTGGCTGCCTCACAGACAACCTGTGTGGGGACACTTGGCAGCACACCAAAGGCCAGGACCTTCTCAACACAGATCGGTGAATGCATCCACAGAGACAAAATCATCTGGCTAACAGCTCTGGAGCTGCTTTGAGCTGAGGCCTTCCAGGTTTGTGTCAATGGTTCAGGCAGGTGAACTTCTGTGTTTTCCTGTCATACCTTAGATGGAACACAACTGGTGCCTCGAGAGAGAGCAGTGTAGCTCAGAGAGCAATGATGAGAGCAGGCGCTGAGCTGGAGGAGCAGATGAAGRGCACAGGACCCAGACAATGTCAGGGCAAAGATTTGTTGCAGCCTTTGTAGACCTGTGGTTAAATACAAGACATGTTTAAACCAACAAACTCAATTTATCACTTTCCAGTTACATGATCATCTGGAGGTCAGCACAAGCCCTTTACCATCCATTCTGTTGTGATTTTAAGCTAAAGAGGGCTGACTCCATGTGCTGCAATCATCTCTCTTTGACTGGTGCTCACTGCAAGGAATGAAACTGCTACTCCTCCTCCCATGTCATRAGACGGTGATGTCTTCCTCTGGGGAAATCTGAGACCTTGGCTCTCAGGGCATGTGGGAGTTCACATGGCTGCTGTGATGATTTCTGRAAAAGTGC